ACGTTGAGTAGGATGTTAAAAAGACAATCTTAACAAACCTTCTGCGTCAGGGTCCATCTGATTCACAACAGTGTATAGAAGAGAACTGTCGGCCTCTTTCCGCAGGTAACCCATCTGAAAACACACACCAGAGAAACCATGTTGTTAAAGAAACAACACAACCCTAATCACTTCAACATAATACCCAAGACACCAGCAACCTGCTGTATGAAGTGTGTTGTTATCATATTATGTGAAAAGCGATGAAAACATTGAGAAGGAAAACACAAACCTTGGAGTTGGGCATGTATCTGTTGATCCGATCTCGAGCTTCATCAGCGGAATGCTCAACGAGAGCCATAACATGCTCCTCTGCTGTACTGTCAGTCAAGCTGCAAGCGTTTCCCTCCGGCTCGTACAGATAACTGAACAAACAGAGGTGCGAGGTAAGTGGTCCATAATACTGACGGTGTGATGTTCACAGAACATTAATACACATAATACTCCCGACTGGCCTTTCTTTCATTTAATGTAGAAAAAGAAATCTCTATTTTGACGCTATAATGCATTTCAGAACCCTTTGGGAGTTATCTAAAAAATTATTCAGCTTTAATTCATTTCTTTAAACAGATATCTAGGGAGGAGCGCGTAGACTAGTGGTTAGTGTGTGTGCACTTCATGTACGGAGGATATAGACCTCCAAGTGGGTGGGTTCGAATCCGACCTGTGGCTCTTTACCTGCATGTCTTTCCTCACTCCATCTCTCCCTCATTTCTGACTCTATCCACTGTCCTATCTCTACAATAAAGCCCAAAAATAACCCTAAAAAACAACAGATATCTGCATACATGTGCAGCTAACAATCTGCTCCCCTGAAGTTTCCAGTCAGATTGTAAATAAATTCCTACATTGCTAACTGCTGGCTAAAGAGTTGTTAATCACTCCTGGAGGCAATGACATCATCAGACGATAGTTGGTGGGTCTGTGCTTGATATTGGATACAACAAGGAATACTAAAGACTACCTGATGACCTCCTTCATGTCTTTGACTGGTTGCTTCTTGGTCTTTTTCGCTGATTCCACCGGCATAGGAATAATTTCTGTAGGAGGTATATCGGTGGTCAGGTCTTCATCTCCCAAAATGGCCGCCTGCTGAGTGTAGTCCATTTCCTGCATGAAAGACACGCTGCGCTTCAGAGCCAAAAGCCGGTCCTGCACACGGGGCAGAGGGGAAAGCAGGCAACATTGAACTCTGTTTGACTGGAAATGTTTTGATGAGAGCAGAAACGTTAAAGAGAGGGACGGTGGTTAAAAGTCTTCAGATGACTACAGGGATGTTTCAAAGGAATAACCCGCTCAAAGTAGAACGTCTAACATGGTGTTTCAGGTATTCAGCAAAACGGTCATATCATTGCATCGAGACTTGAATTTGTGGTGACAGTCTCAGGACATTGTCATTGAAATAGTGACGGGCTTGGGTGTACTTTGTTACTCATCCAAGGTAGTTTTATTTATATATGGGGCGTTGGGAAAAAACAACATCATCCTGCTTTGAATACATTTCATTACTTACTGTTTTTCTAGCAGAGCCATGTTTAAACTTGAGGTGACATAATTACTTCATCCTGTCTGTCATTCACTTCAATCTTATCCAAACACACACATTTAAACACAACACCTCTCGTTTGGAAATACAGACAGAGATACATGAGCAAGAGTTAAAAACAAGAGAAATGAAGCATTAATAAAGGTGTTTCAGTAAATATCACACGACAGCTAACATGGACTGAGACAGAGTCTAATGGATTTATTTTCTTCCAGTTGAGTTTATTACCTTGCTCATCATCTTGAAGCCTGTATGCAGCAGTTTCTTGGCAGCCTTGTAGTAAACAGTCTCTGGTCGGTTGTACACCATGGCATTGTCACACATCAGCTTAAAGTCCGCCTGAAGGCCAAGATGTTCAAACGCAAATGAAGGTAGGCTTTGTTTTATGAGAACTTTCTTATCAACTCTTAATGGATTAACACACACCTTCAAAGCACTCTCTTTGCGTTGTTTTCTTACCTTAAATTCTGTTACTGTTTTGTAGTCATTGTTTTCTATCTTGTCTTTCATGGTGCTGAAGTCCATAGGATGCTTGATGATCATTGAGTAACCAGGAGCGATCGCATCTGTTACTGGGAATGAGAAGAATCCGTGGGGGTCTTTTCTGGAAAGATTCGTGACACACCATCAATGTCATTAGTAGAGCACCAATAAACTAGTATTTAAGGGCACACTCAAACTCTAGACCCATTGCTCCGTACCACGCTGAAGCACGATTGTCCCACCTCCCCATTCCCCCGCTGGCCTATACTCACACTGCTTGAGGTGCTTACAAGAAAGGCGGACTCGAAAATTAAAATCATTTAAAAAATAAATAAAAGGGACGCGCAGTCAAGTCAGAGTCTGCACATCGGAGAACAACACATAAAATATGACAGCTCCTTTACTGACTTTGTGGCTTATTTTCAGTCATATTAATTAGATAAAGCCATAACACATATTTCTGGATAATGGTGTTATGGATCGATTACTTCATGTCCACGTTGTGTACCCGTGCTTAGCAACTGTACCGTGCAAAAGTACACCTCTTCCAACTGCGCCAGGGCCAAGGAAGTGTACCGTGCCTGAGCATGTAACGCTAGAATCTATATTAGCAATACGAATTGAATCTGCATATGCTGTGATTTGTTCAACCAGACAAGGCCATACGTCCCGTATGTTCTGTCAGATGTTGTCCAAGTGTTTATACCATACTAGGCAAAAATACTGATTCAACTTTTGTGACACACTACTTTTCTGCCACAGCAGGACTCAACCTTCACTCTGTTAAAGAACAGTTTTTTAAACCTGTTACACTTAAAATATCGATTGCCCAAACAGACATATCCAGAGGGATGATCAAGGCCTGCAATCAGAGAGAGAGCAATGTTCCTTCCACTTTACAATATCCATCATATGAACGAGGAACAACAGTAAATGCATATGTTGCTTTTCCTACGATACTGAAGGTGGTGAAAAGTGACAAAAACCAAACTGGTTGGTCTCCTCCTGAGGGCTATGTACAGGTACTGAGTACGATTGTTTGATAAGTGACTAAAGTACCTGAGAGCTTGGCAAGAATGAAAATATAGAGTACCCATAATGGAAAGGTATCTGTTGTTGGAGTGTAATTTGATTAGGTAAATTGAATTCATTTAGGATATTTAATGTATGTGTGCTAGACTGTGCTTGCTGTTGTGGATGCTTTCCATCATCACTGTAGTCAAGCTTGTTTTTGTAAATGGGCCTCAGCCTGTTATGTCTTTGAATCTCAACATTACATGAGGATAGGAAGTAGACTCATTCAGAGTTTCTCACCTCTGCAACTGACGTAAGAAATGCTCCAGCAACTGTTGGCGAGGAGTTGACTCGCTCTCTGCATTTGGCAAACATAAAAAATACCAATATGAACAACACATTCAGTACAGAACAATTAAATAAATAACATTTGCAGGAAAATATAATTGATGTAATGTTCATAGGCAGGCCCTCTTACCGTGTTGTGTCCTACATGCTCTAACTGGTCTGTCTCCTTGTTGTTCCATCTCCATCTTCACATGGGGGTGAAACTCCTCCAACTCGGGCTCTATCTCAAACCTCTCTTTCTTCTTCTTCTTCTCCTCTGGCTGCTAAGATACATTCATGATGTGCGACTTTTAAACAAAGACATTAAGAATGCAATTATCCGTTTCTGAGGCTGGAATCAAGTCTACTCACCTCTATCTTAATAGTTATACTTTTTGACAATGTGAAAGGTTCAACAGGAACACTAGCACTTGCAGCAGTCACAGTCGCTGCCACTGGTTCATTCTGCTCTCGCTCTCTCTTCTTCCTCTTTTCTTCCTGTAGGATAAAATCAATCAAGTATAAAGAACAATTAAATCCAACTGTGGTAAAACACACATAGGCAATAAGATAGAACATTGTTGTGAAAGCTTACCTTCCTCCGCCTCCTCTCCTCATCATCCACATATTTATCTTTATCCTTTTCAGACTTTTTCTTCTTCTTCTTCTTCTTCTCTTTGTGGCGTTCTCGCTCGTGATCTGATCGGTCGTCATAGTAGCTGGAGTCATGGCCCGAACCAGAGAGCTCTGTCACCTCGCTCCCCCCAACTTTGAGCACCAGCTTCAGGGGCTTTTCAAGGGTCTTATCCTCAAAGTCTGTAGAGGAAAAAAACATGATGATTACAATATTTTCAAATATTAATCATTCTAACAGGTGCTAACAATGAAGAATGGGTAGGTGGGCGTGTAGAGCAATTTTGGCATTTGGTGTTGTGGCTATACTGCAGATCTTATCTAATATTATTTCAGACACACATTCGGATATAAGTTGTAAAAGATGATCAGAGAAGTAAGCCGTGGTATATCTATTAGTACGACACAGTCATCATGTTGTGATTGAAGGTAATTACAGTGTCATGTGATTACTTACAGACGAAATGAAATTAATATTTAAAAAAATGTCAATGGTAAAATAAATGAATGAACTTTATTGTTGACTTGACTTTACCTTAGTAACACAACTAAAAACATGAATTTTTAAAAAAATATATAAGCCGAATTATAAACTATTCCTAACAGCAAAGGGAGGTGCACCTAAGCGTAGATTAAAATAGATTTAAAAAAAAATTAAAAGCATTATTTTTGCCAGTTTGTGTCGCCTTCTCTGTTTAGCTACCTAGCATAAAGCTAACTGGGACAAAAGCGATGCAGTAGCAAATAGAAATAAAATGCAATCAGATACCGTCGACTGTTCTCCACTCCGGTTTGTGCTTCTTGTGTTTTTTCCCCATTTTTTGCAAAATGTAATCCTCACTCCTATAGTAATCTGCAAATTGTGTTACCAATGATCGCTAACGTTACTCTAAGTAGATCTAATATTAGCAGCTAACGCTAGCAGACGGCAGGCGGAAGTGATACCTCAAAACAAATGACGTATTTCCGGTGTACAGAATCAGCGCGCTGGATTTGAGAGTCGGCTTACTGACAGCGCAGCGTACTGTCGATAGTGTCCTGGGATTCACAACTTTGGTCAATACAAGTTGACAAATTTGACATCGTGAATGATTTAAGGTGTGGCTTTCTGTTTTTTTAAATGTAGTAAAAACTTCGATGTCTGCTGTTAGAGAGATATAAGCGTTAAGCAGCTAGGTTAGCTAGCCACTACAAAGCTAACAAAAAGGAAAGTAGCCTAGTTGTAGCAAAGTCATCCACTGAGCACTGCACTTTAATTAAACTAATTTCTGCGACAATTAGTAGTTTTTAAAACTCTCAGCGTTTCTCTAATGTCCTCAGTTTTACAGGAATGGAGGGTGACAGAATGGAGATCCATGTGGAGGTCCATGTTAAATCTCAATCGTAAGTTTACTGAGATGTTCAGATACAGTCACCAACTTAATATGTATGCAGTGAAATATTTGTAGTGAATTGTCCTGATTTTGTTATAGTTTCCACATACTGTATGTCCTGTTTTGCTGTTTTATTTTTTAATGTTTGAATGTAATTTTTAAATTGGGTAAAATGTGTTTGTGATGGTAAATATTTTTACTTTGTCATTGTTGTTGTATTTTATTTTAAATTTGTTTATTATCTTATGGTGAGGTTTTGAGGTTTTGTTCTACCTAACCTGCAAATGTGAATTATTCTTTTTAGCTTTTTCCTGTTTGACTCTTCTTTCAACAATGTGTAAATAAACTAAACTAAACAGTGGGTAAAAATGTTTGGCAAATGTGTCAGCCGATTTTTTTACAATTAAATATATATACATCATTTTATTATGCATATTGAAACACTAAAAGTAATCAAAGAATGGGAAACAGTTAATAATCAGAATAATTTTAGCACTCTAATTCCTTCTTTCCACTGTTATTCATATTTCAGCACAGCCAAACTATCTGAGGTGAAGTTGCATGTTCTGGCTCTGCTGAATCGACACAGCATGGTTTTCGGGAACTACAGATGGGCAGAGTTTGATGAAGACTTCTTGCAGAGAAATGTAGAAAGTGTGTCCCTTGTTGATTTGGAGGCGATAATAACACAGGTTTGTTACAGCATTTTAATCTTCCTTATGAATGTTTTTTTTGTAATCTTTTTCATTTTATAATTTTTTTCTGTTGTTTATTGATTCTTTTTCTTTTGAACTCACTCAGCCCCTTGACTTAAAGACCTGCTCTGTCTCCGTTCACATCTTCACTCTGAATGAGGATGGACCCAGCACCCTCAGCTTGGAGGACGACGAGGAGCTTTCAGCAGCCAATCACTGGTTGCTGCCTGCTGGTAACTCTACAGAAGTTGGGTGTGGGGGATCATCTGAAGAGAATCTTGATTTATTATATTGATTTATTAATTTCCTTAAACCAAAAGATTCGCATTTAGACAGACAAACATGTTTTAGTATGGCTTTATGTGATCCTTAAACAAGAAACCCATAAGTATGACACCCACCAACTTAGGTGGGAAAGGGTGTTGGTGCCTTTTCAAGCAATAAGGAGCTTTTGACAGCAAATTTCAGAAATACAAAGATGGGAGTCATTGACTGAAATGTTCTGTACACTTTATAGAGGCTTTAAAAAAGTTCATAGTTCTTCATTGGCAAAAGATGCTGTGGTCTTACTGAACCCATGTATTCCACCTGTGTGCTTATTATTTGTTACAAATTGTCTTATTCTCACCAGTTTAAGGACAAGCACTGCTTTTCTCTTGGTCCTCAGGCAATACCTTTTAGTATTCACAAGGGGGCGCCATGTGCTCAAAATATGAGTTTCAATCCTAGATAAATACATACTTGATCTTAAAGCTCATGCTGGTACAAATAAAAAAAGAGTAAAAATCAATATAACAATACATCAGCTAGGATATTTTTTCTGAAAGTGAACCCACAAATATCGATGCAGACACAGCATTTCCTTGTTACTCATTGGCTGACCTATACACAGCTTCTGAAATATCTGGATCGGTCTACTGTTGAGCGAGAAATTGGCCTAGCTCTTATAAATGGACACCAGTAAAGAGGATTATGAGGCAGGACTGGTTTAAGAAGTCTCAGTGAAATGTATCTGCTCTGACATTCATTTTGCTCTCCTTTAACACATACTGGCTCCATTCTAATATCTGGGAATCAAACCTAACCAAAGCCTCCTTTTTCTGAGTTGGAGAAAACGGCTCTGATTTTGTCACCACTTGTAAAGTTTACTGTATAGTTATAGTTATTGTGTACTTACAATATGTTAAGGTGGGGTGAGTTGTTAATGTAGCAGTAAATTAGCTGTATTCCATGCTCCATTATTACAATGCCAAGATGAATTCATTCATTTCATTTATTATACAGGAAAGTTTAAAAGTAACATTAAGTTACAGTTTAATTGGCCTGACTCAGTTTAAAAACAGGTTTCCAGCAGGTTCCTGTTTGCAGAACATGAAACATAAACCACAGTCATGACACATCAAGACAAACACATGTACAGGACATGTACAGGCAAATACAGACAAATAAAAACAAACAGTACAGATGGTGCAAACAATACTTGAAAAATATATGAACAATTAATGAGAGCAAGTGTGGAGAAGGTGTAGTTTGTATGTATTTTTGAAATATGAGGCAGATGGTAAAGTTCTAATGTGATGGGGAATGTCAGCGAGTGAAGTGCAGCGAGTGTTGGTGAAGTGCTGTTTTGAATCTGAAAATAGTATGTAATAGCGTGGCTGTGTATGTAATTCTGGAAAGTCAAGGCGTGTGGAGTGTGTGAGGGCAGTGCAATGGTGTGACCACTTTGGGAGGTTACTGTGGATCTTAAGAGCTCGATAGTACAGTCGTGCTATTGGTTCAGTAACCTCCTTAGTGGTAAGTGACCAGATTGGAAGACAGTAGGAATATTCTGTATTTATGTCTGCTTCTTCTTCTCTCTGCAGGGGATGAGATACATTTTTGTTTTTCTAACATTCTCTTGAAATGACTTGACCTTTGTTTGTCTTTACAGCTGAATTCCACGGTATCTGGGAGAGTCTGGTGTATGAGAGTGGAGTCAAAACTGAGGTCTAAAAAAAACAACATAATCAAAGCTTTGAGATGAGAGAAAATAATAACATAACATTTTTTACACCTCATTGACATTGTTTTCTTTTTTCCTTCAGCTCCTGGATTACGTCACAACAACAATTTACTTCTCAGACAAAAATGTCGACAGCAACCTGATTTCATGGAACCGTGTTGTACTGCTTCATGGTATATAACTAATGGAGAAGAATCAAAAATAATCATTTTAATTTGCTGAGGTTGCATCCGAGACAATGAGCATATTATAACTGATTTATCTGTTTGTTGTGCCAACATATAGGACCCCCAGGCACCGGGAAAACATCCCTGTGCAAAGCTCTTGCCCAGAAGCTGTCAATCAGACTGTCGAGTCGGTGAGACAAAACTCATATAAGTAAAACCGTTTCAACAGAAACTGCACCGGCTCTTTTCACTGAAAATAACACACTCCTCTGCCTGCAGGTATTCATATGGGCAATTTGTGGAGATAAACAGCCACAGCTTGTTTTCAAAGTGGTTCTCAGAGGTACACCTGTACACTCCTTTATGATGGAAGAGATTCATTGGAAAAGTATTTCTATAAAGCTGAGGTTATTTGGTAACTTTACATGCCCTCTTTGTTGCAGAGCGGTAAACTGGTCACAAAGATGTTTCAAAAGATCCAACAACTGATTGATGACAAAGATGCTCTCGTTTTTGTCCTGATTGATGAGGTAAAAATCGCTGTCTGAGAAATAAGGCCTGCTGCATATGGAATTTTTTATGCATTAGTCTTTCTTAGGAAACATCTCTGCTTTGCCTAAGGCGTGCTCTTTTGTGACCCTGCTGCTTGGTGTGTAGGTGGAGAGTCTGACAGCAGCTAGGAATGCCTGCCAGGCGGGAACGGAGCCCTCCGACGCCATCCGAGTGGTCAACTCCGTCCTCACACAACTGGATCAGATCAAACGGTCAGAAAGCGAAGAACTCCATGTGTTGTTTCAAATCTCTCTAAACTGAAAAGGGAAATCCCTTCTGTTTAGTTTGTCTTACTCACTGGTTTGTTTTTCTTTGACTTTGGGCTCAAACTTCAGACATTCCAACGTTGTGATCCTGACGACCTCCAACGTGACAGAAAAGATCGACTTGGCGTTTGTGGACAGAGCCGACATCAAGCAGTATATCGGACCTCCATCGGAGAAGGGCATCTACAACATCTACCTCTCCTGCCTGGAGGAGCTCATGAAGGTGACAGAACAGCCAAACAGTAGTTTTCAATACATTTAACTATTCCTCGTTTATGATACTAGATGCAACTGTTAACAAGTCTTCAATCTCTATTTGAAATGAGGGTCAGTGTTTCACGTAAGATAGTCATGGTAGCCATGAGGTAGAAAGCTACCAGACGAATGAGTCAGTTTTCCCAGGTTGTGCTTAATATATATACTACAAAATGTTTTGAAGCAAAGTACATAAAAGCTTTTCATTCCATTTGATGCATTCTATTATAGAATCAGAAATCACAGAAACTCTTTATAGACATAAACACAACACCATCAAGGAGTTTGCATGTTCTCTATGTGCATGGGTGGGTTCTCTCCGGGTACTCCGGCTTCCTCCGACACTCCAAAGACATGCTCATTAGGTTATTTGGTGACTCTTAATTGCCTGTAGGTGTGAATGTGAGTGTGGCTGGTTGTCAGTCTCTATATGTCAGTGTTGTGATTGACACGAACAGTCCAGGGTGTACCCCGCCTCTCGTCCAAGTCCACATAAGTTTTGCCATCAATCTGAATGTTGTGGAGGCGTAATGGGAGGCAGAGTGGTCTCCCTCTGTACCATCTTTGGAGGTATTAACAGAGGCGTTACAGAGCGGCGAGGTGGGATGAGCAGAGCCTGCGTGTGCGTCTGTGTCTGTGTCTGTGTGGACATCCTGCTGTGCCGTGCTCTCATGCTGTAAGGCAATTTGAATTCAAAGACTGGGACACAAATATGCCTTTGCAGGGTGGCTGTGGCTCAGTTGGTCGAGTCGTCACCTCTCAACCGGAAGGTCAAGGGTTCGATCCCCAGCTGATCAACATGTCCGATGTGACCTTGGGCAAGACACTTAACCCTGCATTGCTTCCCGCAGCTTAGGTGGCGGTGAATGAATGTATTAGTGTTGTAATCACTTTCTGATGTACGTCGCTTTGGATAAAAGCGTCTGCTAAGTGAATTGTAACATTGCAGAATCAATATAATTGTCTTGAGGCGTGATGATGGCGGGGCTTTGTTTCAGCGCTTTTTGTATGAAAAAAAAAAGGGCTACTGTTTCAATGGTGTGTGTGGTATGTGCAGTGCCAGATCATCTACCCCCGGCAGCAGCTGTTCACCATGTTTGAGCTGGAAACGATGGGCTTTGCAAAGAGCGAGGTGTCCGAACACAGTCTGAACCTGAGGAGCATAGCTCTGTGAGTACAGCCTCCCATAATGCATCAGCTCTGTGCTCCAATCATAACATGTTGCGAGAAAAGAAACCGCCTGAGGCTAATATTTGTTTTTTTCTTCCCTTCCAGAAAAAGTGAAGGTTTGAGTGGAAGAGCGCTCAGAAAGTTACCATTTCTTGCCCATGCACTGTTCGTAAAGGTAACTTTATGATTTATTTCTACAGAGTGATTATAGAAAGATATATATTTTTCTTGAATGCCATTTGTTAATCTGCAGACGCCGACTGTGACTCTTGAGAGGTTTCTGGAGGCAATGGATCTAGCAGTGGATAAACAGAAGGAGGAAAAGGCCAACCTGGTCAACGCAGTCTGAACACATTACAAAGGCCAAAAGGCCGACACATGATTGTTCTTAACTCTCCAATACCTTGTTATGTTTATTTTGTAACATTTGTCTCCTTTTTATAAAGCTTTATGAATCCTTGTGGTAGCACCATGTTGAATGAATTGTCATGTAATGGTTTTAACAGTTGATATCAATAACACAAGTGGTTCAGGCTGTTCTGTTGGTGCTCCTTATTTAAAAAACCCAAAGTCCATGTGTTTGTTTCAGTCAGGGAGTTTGGTTTAACCCCAAGTGTTTACTCTTCTTGTTTTCAAAGTGATATTTTTATGTAACATTCAACTTTAACCTTACAAGCTCTTTTGCTTCTTTTTTTTTCTCTCCACTTGTGGCGGTTGCTTTTTAGTCCTGATTTCTCTGCTCACACATCAGCTCAGTCTGCCGATTCTGTCCGAGACATTGGTGTTGTAGCTTCTCGGACAGAAATGAATGGGAGTCCCATAGATTCAGATTACCTGAGTGTTGTGTTGCATTTAAAGGAACTTCATTTCTTACATACATGTTGCTAACTCACTAAGATACCTCCATTCAAAGGATCCCTACAACACGCTGATGTTCATGTTCATATCGACTTAATGTCGAAAAAGTCAGCTGATTCTTAGAAATGCACGTTTTGTGCTCTGTTTTTGAGTTGTGCTTAAAAGGGATCCTATCAGTTGATCATCTGTTTAAAATGTATTTGTAGGTTCAGCTATTTATTCTAACATCATTCCTCTTCTAATGCTCATTATTATTTTGTATATAACATTGTAATAAATATCCTTGTCTATGCGAGTGTTTGAATTGTTGTGTCTGGAGATTTGAACAAAGCCTTTGTGTCACCACTTGGTGGCGTGTAGATGCTGTAGTACTTTTCTTTTCCACACAGAAAATGATTTCAGAAAGTGTGTTTAGTGAGGTACATGGAGATCAAAATAAGGGCAGTAATCAGAAATGACCACAACAGCAACACTTGATTTCGGATAACTTTGAACTTTTGTCATTGAGTATTTAAAATACATTGCGGGGAAACTCCTGAGCAAACTGAATTTGTACATTTGCATTATAAAAACTAAAACAGGTTGTTGAATGCAGCTAATTATGGAGCTAAGACAAACTACACAGGCACGTCTATGATAACACCGTCTGCAGGTGTTTGTTTGTGGTTGCCACCAGTTTGACCTGGGCACCAAACTGTTGAAAGAGGATTAGTTTTGAAATGTTGCAGTCATTCCACTGTTTACATGAACAGATGAGGGACTCCATTGTTCGTATAACATGTTTTGCATTCTGTGAATGCTCTGCAGCTCTGCATGTCAGCTGCTGGGTTTAGACAATGTGCCCTTTGTTTTGTTGTTGGGCAAGAGCTTTTTTACACTCCACTTCAAAGGTGGATCCTGTCGCCTGTTCCTGAGTGTAAAAAAAAGCAAACATCGAGTTCATCCTTATTCACACGTTGGATTCCCCCTCAAATCCATCGCTGTCAGCTTTGAAAATCACCTTCATCAGGTGTTTTATGACACGTATTTCACGGTAGCTTTCAGTGGATTTGACAGTAAAGTCAGTCATTCAGATAAAGCAAAAGATTTATTCTCTATTCTGTAATCAAGACATTCAAGAAGAGACTGAAACCTACACATAAATCTCTGGATTTATTGAGGATGCCTAACTTTTGTCAGTGTGAATTATACTCGGTACCTTTTTTGTACGCTTTTTCAAAGGGATTTAGTTTTTATGTCTGATGAATAGCAAGAGGAAGCTCTTTTCTCTAATCTGATGAATGATCACAAAGTAGACAGAAAAAAGGGAAGACAGAGAAAGGGAAAGCTTTAAGAATGAGCGTGGTAAATAAAACCATAATTGCTCTGTCTGGAGGCCCTTTTTTCTTTTCTTTTTTTTGACTGTAGTCGCTCCAAAAAACCAGGCAGCTGTTAAAAGGCAATCAAGACGGTGAAGGAAGAAAGTCAAAAGCCTTATTGTTGCAGGTTTTTTTTATTTTTATCACTGTTTCAAGCAGTTAAAAATGTCAGAAAAACTCCAAACAAAACAAACAGTCTGATGTTTATCCTCTCAACCGTTGTTCAGGTACACGGCTAAAAGCAATGGAACATCAGTGCAAGTGCCAATGGTGATTCACATAGGGAGGGAATAACTTACACACATACTTATAGGCATGTTTAGAAGAAAAGAGCTGCACATAAACTATGGAAACTCTAGCTCATAACTTGTATAAAACCATACTTCTGTTTTAAAGAGGTTATGGTTTACGTCGATGGGATCTTTGAGATGATTTTGTAATACTGAATTGATGTACTCAAACAACTGAAGAAAAAAAAAGGTGCATGTTTGCCAGCATAATGATCCCACATCCTGTACAAATACACAATGAGAGCCCATGAATCTTAAGCTCTGCCAGAGCGTCTTTCAATTCTTCCTCTACATGACAGCCTTTGATGATAAACCAGGACTTTTATCCAAGTGAACATTGCCCTGAAAAGACAACTTCAACTCTCTCCCTCTCTCTCTCTCTCTGTTCCCTGTCCCGTTTTCTGTCAGAAACTGTAGTTCTGACACATTTTGCTTCCCACGTGTGTGTGTGTCACCTACTGAGGAGGGGATGTTAGAGGGAGATGGAGGATGAAGGGTAGAGATACCTTGTAAAGAGGCAGAATCCTGCGAGCCAGGCTGCATAAAGAAATGCTGATAATTAGGCACGGTGAGAAGGATCAAAGAAAGCTGCCATCAATGAGCTAAATGCAAATGTCGGCTCATTCTGTCAACCACAGACTGTGATCTGAGAGTCCTGTGTCTGTGTGGAGTCACAGCTCAGACAAATTGACAGGAAGAAGAAATACAGCGGCACTCCACATGAATCATGGTGTTTAGAAACTGAGACACTACAGCATATAGAATAAATGTGTCTAATATACCTCCAGGCGGAGCTCCTCTGTTTAGGTAATAACAGAGAGAAAGAGAGAGAGAGATAACAAAGTCTAGTGCATGGACTGTAATTTCTTCTACAACAGCAGCACTTTGGAGCAATGACTGATTGACTCCGAACTTTATAATAACACTTTATGCTTTGATAAAAATCCACAGATTAAAGGAAACCTCTCTCTTGTTTTGAATATAATCTGCAGAGGAGTGGAACATTTACAAAACACAAACATCACAGTCATTTTTTCATACTGAACAAAAGTTTGCCTTGGTGGATGAATATTCATAACTCTTGGCATGAGTCCTGCGGCCAGGCCCTTCTCCAACACCCTGCCAAAGGAAACAAACTATAAAACTGCTCAAGAGCTTTTGATGTCTGCCGGGTTAGAGTACGGCATGTTCTTCCTGGATCTCCTCTATGAACAAAAGTTTATCTACACAATCTGTTGTGCACACAAAATACCTAAAATCAATCAATCAGTGTGGCAAAAAAGATTACTGAATGGGCCAATAATCTTTTATAGCCTGTTAATTGAGTATTTCCATACCTAAAAAAAAAAGATTGTTACTTCAACTATGATCTATATAAGACCACAGGATTAGCCTATATGCAGCTACAGTTAGGCTTTATGTTTTATGAGTTGATATTTTGTTGAACATAATAAGAAATGTGTAATAGTAGGCTTTATATTTAGGCCTATGCAACCCATATAACAAAATAATCAAAGTAATAAACAAAATATTTGAAAGTATCCTGGAAATGGGCCTAAAAATGATCCTTCTAAAACCATGAATGGAGTTGTACAGAAAGCAAAAGAGCAATTTTACATTCAACGACACGAGCCGCCAAACCTGTGCGTAATGCGTCAAGCTGAACAAAACCTACAACCGGAACAGGAAGGCATGAGCTTTTCTAAATACAAGTACCTTTCGAGGACTCCACATATAATTATCTAGGCTATGCTCAGCAAATGATACAGTAATAATGTTTAACACACACAGTCTAAAGTGAGTAAAAAAAATAATGTGTCTGGTCCACTCCAAATGTTTTGACTGAATGCAGAGTAAACATTGAAAGAGACAACAGTTAACAGAAACACGCCGGTGTAAGAGGATCAAATGAGAGGTTTTGGTTCTGGTGTAATCTTAAGACTATTTGTTGTTGTTGTTGTTGTTGTTGTTGTTGTTGTTGTTGTGGAAGCAGATCTTCTGTTTATAAACAGCTGAAAAATGTACTGGAAATCATGGAAAACAGACGAAATATTTACGAAAGTCCGAGCAAACTCACAGATGTTCTGAGTTATGTTAACGTGCAAACCAAAGCCCTATAAAAGAGGTTTAACCTTCAAACCATGTGCTAGTTTTCTGAGGCATTTATTGTTACTAAAGATGCTTTCCAAAGACTACAATAATCAATAAATGAAACCAAATATTCTATCTGGATATGCCAGCACAAAATGAATGTTAAAACCCAAATTAAACATTAAAGAAAAAAATATACCTAAATATATGTATGAACTAGCCTACATTCTGAATATTTTATTCTTAATTACTTTTACCATTCCATCATTTTGCGACAAATTTACCCACAACGCTTTCTTAATTGGTCTTTTATTTTGATGGAGCACGTACCGGTATTACCGCATGTGTCGTGTCCGTCTTCACACTTTGTGGTTTGTGTTGAGTTCAAAGCGCTTTCTCGCTCAGTCGACTGGAGGGTAGTGTGGAGACAGACAGCGGGTACTGCTCCACAGCTCCTCACAGGTCTTCCGTAGCTCCTGTTCGCACATTTATCTCAGAGAGCTGATGCTTCAATGAACTCTCGGTTTGACGCGCTGCCTTTGGATGAAGTTGGACTTTTCTTCCTGCAGCGCAAACACAATGTGACCATGCTGAGGCAGTGACTGTGTTATCCTTGTCCGTTTTATCGGAGTATTTCTATCGATCCAGGGAAAAGAGTGGGACTAAAGCATGGGCAAACTTCAGTCAAAACATGGTAAGACGCGTTGTTATTGTAAGAAAACACTGATGTGATTTTTACCTTATTTTGATTTTAGTCCTTCAAACACTAACGACTGTCTGTTTGCACCCTTGTTTCTGACCATCTGAAGCGTGTAAACGCAGGGAGAACCCTGAAGGTAAGAAACACACTTCATAGTGCATGATGAAGACTCATAATAATAAACGATTATGCGCATGAAGAGATGAGCTCCGCACGTTTAGCCTACTTTCTGATTGGTGTGTTTTTACGTCTCAGGAGACAGTTTTGTTGTGAACGCCTTCCTCCGGAGAGGGATGGAGGAATGTGAGAGGTACAGCGCGGCGGATCACAAGCTGAAGAGCATGCAGGTAAGCATATTAAGACAATTTAACTTAATTTCAATATAAAACTTCCCTTGGAATAATAGTAAGAGTGTATGAAAATTATTAATTGATGTAGCTGCCTAAAAAGAGTGATTTTGACAAGAGGAGCTCTTTAATTCAGTTCTGTTCTAAATGTGTCTGCTTTAAATACTAAATGCCCCCACTTCTTGTTATGTTTTTTTTTTTTTTCACATGCACTAAAGTAATAACTGGATAAACTGTGCATGCTGAGGCTGGGCAAGTGTGTATATCTTTGTGTGTTTGCTGATGTAATGAGCCTGACAAGCACTTCAAAAGTTGTCTGTTTGAAGCTGTTACATCCCCTCCTCCTGAAAGATGAGCTGAGAGCCTCTTTACTTCAGAGGAAGCAGACTGTATTCACACGCGTGTGAGAGGACATGCTGATGTCTTTGCAGAGTTGTAGCTTGTTGTTTTTTCTGTCATGTCTGGCTCCGGCACAACACTGCGGTGGTTATTCCCCTGCCAGCATCACTGGATGGGTTATGACAGCCATGAGCCCCTAGTGTGTGTGTGTGTGTGTGTGTGTGTGTGTGTGTGTGTGTGTGTGTGTGTGTGTGTGTGTGTGTGTGTGTGTGGCTTGGCAAAGCAGCACACACACACACACACACACACACACACACACAGACAGACACAGTGTGGATGGAAAGGAGTCGTTTCTCAGACTGTGAGGGATATAAAGTTTGCTTTTGTGGCCGCTGGCATCATGACTCAGGGCTGTGTCTTTTTCCTCAATGCCTCCCATTCTAGTGTGGCTCCCTCTGTGGCAAAACATTACATCACTTCAATTAGTTCCTAGTTTTGAGGGGCACAAGAGTCTCAAACTCTCAGACAAAAATCTGCTGGAAGTTCACAGAGAGTTGCTGAAGATGTGTGAGGTGGGTGGCTGTAAAAGTGGAAGAGTTATAGATTATTATCAGGGCCATAAAACGCCCACTCGTGGCAAATTAATAGAGAACTTTAGTCGGCTTCAGAGGAGTCTGACTTCACACTCGCCTGACGGGAAACCACCAAAGGCAAAACCTCGACACTTATTAGTAGGCGGGTCCCACCCTCAATTCTATCAAAGTCAGTTCCTGATTTATTCTGTGTCATTAGGTGGTTACATTAGAGGCTCGTTCACAGACCAGAAGTGGAAAACGATCAGCGTTTAACCAGGGATCTACTTTACTGCTTCTGCTATTCTGAAAACGTACGTCTGTCACAGAATATACTCCATATTTTTGTATTTTTACTTATAGTGGCAGCTTCCCTGATTATTGTTATTTACTACTATAGCATTGTTCTTCCCATATCATTCCGACCATATGCAAAACTATACATTGTTGTTTTAAAGATCTCCTTTAACATAAGGAAAGCATTTTCCAAGGTGTTCTAACATTCTAACAAAATAGAGTAATGAGAAAAAGACTGTAGTAACTAAATGTGTTCCCACTCCCTCTACACGGCCCCCAGCCTCACTAATGTATCAAACAAATGGAAATGAAAATAGAATTATAATTTCATAATCATAATTTCAACTATTAGTTCCCAATTGAACAGACATCCAATTTGGCAATATGAGACATATACAATAAACAGTTAACACCCATCACTGTTTAAAGCCAAAGAATATAGAAAATTAACAGTCATGTTTACAGGTATGCGCAAAGCAAGATGTAACCAAAAGCTGGAATGATGTATTCATGTATCTTTGAAGCTTGATCCAAAAGCAACTGGACTTGGTTGAAAACTTGAAACTTCAAGATCTTCAACCAACTCCAGTTTCTTTTGGATCAAGCTTAGAAATGACCATGACCTGGATGACTGAGAACCTACACAGACATATTCATGTTTCCACCTATGAGAAATAATTAAAAAAAAAATCACTTCCTTATTGACGATTTTCTGGCAATTTATAGACTTCAGTGATATTACATTAACTTTGAGATCAATTACAGATTCACCAAAATAAAATAGACATATTACATTTATGCTAATTTGGTATGGCTTAAGAGAAATATGTGACAGCTTGTTTTCGTATACATACAGTGACAGCTCCATTCATGCTGTTTAAAATGACAGAACGCCAACATTAAAGTAATGTGTCCCCGGGGAACAAAAGACCGACTATCTTCCCACATAGAAGTTATCTCTGCTCTATAACAGTATTTCCTCGTTTCATCCCACGTTAATTAATTCTGTAGAGGAGGGGATAACACTTTCACATGTTCAGATATACGTATTGGACTGTGGGCTTTTCTATAATTGGGGCTTAGAAAACAGCAGAAAATGGTATCATTTTTGGAGGTAGTAGTTTTTGTTTGTTAGTCCTGGATGATGACAAGCATGCAGGGGCCATTAATTTATGATTTCTTACAAACATGGTGTTTAGCCCTGACCATCCCCCTTCCTTATTGTCAAACGGGGGAGTAAGATTCCTGAGCTGTCTGGCTGCGACTTCAAAGCGCTGAACTGGGAGTTATAAAAGGGCTCTGATATCAGTGGAGCCTCCAAGCCCTCACCCCTCTATCCCCTTGCCCTGTCCTGTCCTGAGGGGGGGGGAGGGGCTGAGAGATGGAGTACAACAAGGGGGGGGGGGATAAACAACGCTTACATAGTCCAAGAATCAGTTTGTGCAAACCTATAAATCTTCACAATAAATCACTGATTTCTATTGAGCAACTTGTGAATGCTTTGCTGTGCTTGAACAAGAAATAACAAAGGATCAACGGATGAACGGACATGTTTAAATATTGATATTGCTGCAGACTATGATTCAAGATTGCAGCTGGCGCTTTGCCCTCAGTTTGTGATCCTATAGGCTGTGTAAAGTGTAAAGTGTGGCCTGTGTGGCTTAAAGAGAGCCTTATTCAGCCGGATGATTTGGCTCATCCTGTTGGCAGAGGTTTTTGACACTTGGTTGCAGGTGTTCAAGGGAATCTTACAGCTGGAGTGATGTAGAAATGTTACAGGTGAGATCAAAGTGGCAGTCCAAGGTGTAGTCACCCAGCCGCCCTGTAAACGCAGCCTAGTGTGTAGTTATTAAATATGTAATGCAGAAGACTCCTTACCCTGTACTTATCCAAATAATGGAAGAGTTCTGTGAAGGTTCACTGTGTTTCACCCGTGGAAACATCTACACATCAACAGTGTGAACCCCTCACACACACACACACACACACACACACACACACACACACACACACACACACACTCTCACAGCAGCGCTTCATTTCGGTGCTTCAAACAGACATGCTCGGATGCCCATATAATGACGGTCTAATTGAACCTTTCAGCACCATCTTTTGTCTCAACACTTCCCGCATACTTGGCCTGTGAAGAAGGAGCGTGTCAACATTTGAAAAGTCCACAACAAAGACCTTTATTATTCCATTTCAAAAGCTTCATAATATCACACTTGAAGTCAAAAAAAGGAAAAAAAGAGCTCCTTCAGGGATTCACTTGGATGTGCCAATAGCTCTGAGACGAAAATTTATTTTGACTTACGGAGAGTTACACAGCACTCAGCCCTCAATAATAAATTTAGTTTAAGAGTAGAGTTCCCAAGCAGCTCACTAAAGTAATTATAGGCTGAAGTTTTTTTTTTTTTTAACATTCATTTGGAATCTATGGATAAGACTTTCCCCTTATATAAAAATCCTCATTTGGTGATCCCGCTCAGAATGGATGTTATGTTTGGATCGATTTGCCACTTCACATTTGGGTAAGGAGAATTATTTGATTTGGATCTCCGGCTGGGATTTCTATGTAATCTTAAGGCTGTGACCCTAAATTACACTTTTTTTCAGTGCATGGTGGCAAATTTACAAGTGATGTCATTTGTTTTCGTTGTGAATTTCTGTAAGTCTTCCGCAACATCTCATTATCTTTAACCTCGATGACTTTTAACCAGTAATATATTTTTAAAAAAAAAACTTGTGTCCACTTTTGGGGGTAAAACATTTCTTAAGAGGAGACAAAATGGTAAAAAGGTGTGCTAATGCTGCTTTTGAAGAGACTTGAAGGTATTTTTGAGAGTTTGTTTTTTTCCACCTCTTTCCCTCTTCTTTTTTTTCCTTCTTTTTTTAAATTGGCTTCACAAGAAGGCGAGCTGTGAGCCTTCATCTCTGAATGAAAAGCATGTGGCTGGCATCCAGAACAGCGGGGTCTTTCAGCACGGCCCCGGCAGACATCTGTTCCTGGTTTGTACAGCAAAATCCTGGAGCACAGGGGAGAGGGGCTGTGGTGGAAATGGGGTGGGAGAGGGTGGCGGGGTGAGAGGAAAAGAGGAGGAGGAGGAGGAGGAGAGGGGGTTTAGGGTGTTTTCTTTTTCATTGGGGAGATATTTGAGGGGGTTGTGGGGGAAGGGGCAAAAGGGAGAGCTTCATCCGCCTTGTCCACTGCATTGTTTGGGGTGAAAGAAACTGACCATTGATCTCACCTTACCTTCCATATTAACCGCTGTTAAAAGTGCAAAACACAAACTGTTTTCCAACGTCTGTGCCCATTTGTCCAGAGTAAACATTCACCTCTCAGTCAGCGCAAACATCATCACCTGGTTGGCTTCGACACTATTCACAAGTGTGAGATGCTTGTTTTATCCTCGTTCAAGTTGGAGTGTTAAAGTGTGTATCACCACATGGTCTTGCCACTCCGTCACTCTCTGGCTGACTTTTTGTGACTAAATGATTAAGAGGCAAATAGTAGGTTTGTGTGGCCCCCATCTAATCGAGTAACATATATACAACACTGCAAGCCGATTAAATGTTTATTTTTCTGAGGATATTTATACAGTTTCAAGTACTTTGAAGAAGTTTGCTCACTTTCACCCTTATTCCCCTGTGACCTGCACTCACAGAAGGACTAAGGCCTCTCTAGACATCAGGCTGAATACAAGAATGTTGGTTAACAATACTAATTCAACACCAAACAGGGCCGTAATAACCAACTGAGAGGGGTTGGAGTATAATATTAGCTCTGGGCAC